TAATAGCTAAAGGGTATAGATTTCTTTTTGAGGTAATGAAAATGTTCTGAAATTGACTGTGGTGATGATTGCACATATCTATGAATACACCAAAACCCAGTGAATGGTACACTTTAAGTGGGCAAATTATATGGTATGTCAGTTGTAGCTCAATAAAGCTTTAAAAAAATTCTGTTGTTTTAGTGGGGATTTGAAAAGATATAGAAGTTAGATGCATGTCTTCAATCTAGCATTTTACCTTCAAATCCTAAAGTATGATAAAATGCTATATAATTATAAGTTACATAATTAAATAATTTATTTCAGAATAACATGAGGCATGTCAAAGATTCTGAAGAGGATTTCTGAGTTTAAGGTTAAGAAACACAAATCTAGATTTACCCCATTTTATGTATGAAATAGAGTATAGTTAGTCTGGGTAGATTTGTCCTTGAAATCTATGTTTGAATCCCAACCCAGCAGCTATTAGCTGTGTGACTATGGAGGAATAGGGAGATACCTTTAACCTCCTTTTCTGTGTCTGAAATCGGATTAAAAGCCATCTTCCTTAAAGTTGTTGAGGATTAAGAGAGCTGACAAAGTAGTAGCTACCATTTATTGACCACCCATGTGTGAGATGCTTGACTTTTACATATATTCTTATTTAATCTTCAGAAAGCCATGTGTTCTTCTGCTCATTACATTATTCTTATTTAATCTTCAGAAAGCCATGTGTTCTTCTGCTCATTACATTATTATTTCTGATAGCTATCAAAGGGAAAAATGAGATGTCTTATAATAAGAGGATGGTTAAATTATGACCCGTATCTGTATATTGAATATTATGCAAATGGCATTTTAGGGAGATTTTATTTTTTAGTTACTTGGAAATCGCTTATCTTAGATAAAAGGATTATATATTGTGGACTGAAATCAAGACTCGAGGCAAAAATAATTTTATAAAGGTTCATTGGAAGCCAAATTTGAGGATCTACCCAAGAAACACAAGCCAACAGAGTTGGAAAGTGCTTTGAAGTCTACTACAAGGAAAGGCATTATTTATAAAGGAGTTTGAAAAGGGAGGGGGAGAGCTTCAAGTAGAGTTGTACTTTATTTCTCAAGGAACTCAAAAATCACAATCATTAGTTATTGATTACAACATGGGAACGAAAAACAGCTATGTGCAACCTGAAGTAGAAGCTCCTTGCTTCAGCTGTTCTTAATAATATCTAAGTGGCTTAATCAGAACGAGCAGGTTATACATTAATTAATAAATCAGCAGTTCTAACCATGTACATTGTTTATATTAAGAACAGGTTGTTGAAATCAAGTTCATGGAACTTATCCCAGAGCAGTGAGTTTTGGAAAACCGGCCTCATTTTGATTATCTCCTTCATCGATATTATGATTTCAAATAGGGGAAGAAAGCTCAGATGAAAAAACTCCAAAATATTTACTGTGGTATATTTTTGTGTTGTCTTTATACCTTTTTTTTTTTTTTGCACTTTTCAAGACCTTAGCAATGTGCATTTGAGTTGATAAATGTAAAATAGATTTTTTTAATTTTTAATTTTTATTTATTTTTTGGCGGCTGGCTTTTACAGGGATCAAACCCTGGACCTTGGTGTTAAATCAGCACCCATACGCTCTAACCAACTGACATAACTGGCCAGCCCAAATAGATTTAAAAAAAAACAGTTGTTTACATTGATTTTTACAACTTGATTATGGAAAATTTTATTCATACACAAAAGTAGAGTGTTATGAACTTTCACGTACTTAATTTTCAACAGTGATTGATATATGGCCTATCTTGTTTTATCTATACCCTCTTGTTTTATTTGCACCTCCCCTTCCCTATGCCTGCAGGATTTTTATAATCTCATACTTTTATCCTATCCTATCATATCATATCATATCATATCATATCATCATATTTAGTTAGTTAAAAATTCCTTAATTTTTTATTCCTGGTACCACTACCACAATTTATAGGGCAATATACCTGATGTAATGAAAAGAAAAAGACAAAGCTACAACAGATAAAAGACTTCAGGAATGTACATCTAATTGACACTACATCGCATTAATCAATAGCTGCACTTTTTGCAAACTGTGGCTATGACAGTCCTGAACAAGAAGGGTTTTCTGTTTTAAGCTGCAGTAACTTTTCTAACTGTGGATATTGTTCCTTCTGTAGCAGATTTTTACAGTTCCTCTAATGCATTTGGGATGACTGTCTCAAAGTAACCTGCAGCTTTCCTGACAGCTCCTCACTTGCTTTCCTGCTAAGAACTGTAGTCCCTTTCTGCTGCTTTTAGAAACTTCTGCTACCATATCCACCAGTTCCACTACCAGATCCATAACCACCACCATAGGAACTGCCTGAGCTTCTTCTGCCAAAACTACCGCTCTTCATGGGTCCATAATTTGATTGCTGTTGTCCAATATAATTTCCAAAATCATTATAGTTACCACCGCCAGAATTTCCTCCTTCACTGTAACCATCATATATCCTCCTCCACCACCACCAGATCCACCACCTTGGTTTCCATATCCTGGTCCACCACCACCATAGCTCCCTCTACTCCTATAATCAGGACCACCTCTATAGTTGCCACGCTTACCTCCAGATTCATTATATCTGCCATCACCTCCATAACTAACTGAGCTGCCACCACCTTCACCACCATAGCCTCCTCTTACACCAGTTTCTACCACCTCTAAAATTTCCTTCACGACCTGTAAAGTTGCCAGCTCCACCTCCACAACCTCTTTGTGATCCAGTAGACTGCATCTGTCGTTTAGAAAGAGCTTTTTTCACTTCACAATTATGCCCATTAATAGTGTGGTATTTCCGAACAACAATTTTATCAACTGTATCATCATCAAAAGTTACAAAAGTAAATCCTCTTTTTTCCACTCTTGCCTGTCTTCCATAACTTCTGTGGTTTCACTCTTGCCATACTTTTCAAAGTAGTCTCTTAAATTATATTCTCCTGTATCTTCTGTAATACCACCAACAAAAATTTTCTTCACTCTTAGATGGTCACCACGCTTTACAGAATCCTCTCTAGAAACAGCTCTCTTTGGTTCCAACACATGCCCATCAGCCTTGTGAGGTCGAGCACACATTGCTGCATCCACCTTTTCAACAGCAATAAGTCACAAAACCAAAGTCCCTGGAATGCTTTGTTTGAAGGTCTCTCATTACCACAGTCTGTGAGTGTGCCCCATTATTCACAATGTTCTCTTAAACTATCCTCCGTCGTTTCAAAGCTCAGACCACCAGTAAACAGTTTTCTCAGCTGCTCTGGTTCCTTTGGATTATGGCTGTCCTCCCCACAGTGGCGGCGCTGGTGGCCGGAGTCGGGCTGTGGGTGACCAGGTGGCAGTTTTACCTCCATTTTGAGCTATGTTATATTATTTAATGTGTCTTTCCATTAATTGTGGCAGCCAAAAAATGCCCCCGCATATAGATGGTCCCTGGCTTACTATGGTTCAACTTAATATTTTTCGACTTTACTGTGGCGTGAAAGTGATATTTATTCAGTAGAAACCATAGTTCAAATTTTGATCTTTTCTTAGGCTAGCTATACTGCCTCCTGATACTGGGCCAAATCATCTGACACAAAGCCTATTTTATAATAAAGTTTAAATATCTCATGTAATTTGTTGAATGCTGTACTGAAAGTGTTCTGAGTACATTTAAGGCTGGCTTGGTTAAGCTATAGTGTTCAGTAGGTTAGATGTATTAAATGCCTTTCCACTTGGTATTTTTTTTTTTTCCTTTTTTGTCTTTTTTACTGACCAGTCACGGGATTGCAACCCTCAGTGTTGCACCCGCACTGCGCTCAGCCAGTGAGCGGGAACCGGTCTCCACATGGGATCCGAACCCTCGGCGGGAGCGCCGCTGCGCTCCCAAGCGGCGCACTCTCGAGTGCGCCACTGGGCCGGCCCATCCACTTGGTGTTTTTAACTAACCAGATGAGTTTCTCAGGACGTAGCCCATTGTAAGTCGAGGAGCATCTGTATTTCCAGAACACTGCCTTTGGTGGTAGTGACGTCACCTACTGAGACCCACTACTGTAGGACAATGGGGCAGAGTGATAAGATGTGATTCTTTTCTGAATTAGTACTGTGACTTTCTGAGGCAGTCTATTAGTGTAGATTCCTGGGCCCACTTTGAGGTTTTCTGATTTGGACAGTTGAGTAAAGCCTAAGCATATTGGTGATTTTAGTAAAGATTTGAGAAATGCTGATCTAGTATAGGTTAGGTGAGCTATTCTTTATTTTATGATGCTGTTTTGTCTTGTTTGTTTTTGCATGTTATTCTGGTCCCTGGAAAGCCTTTCTTCAGGTTTTCCTGGTTACTTCCTAATCTTCCTTTAGTTTTCACTTCTGGAAAGTCTTGTCTAACAGCACTCCAGGCTTCCTCTTTACTTGACTGTACACTGTCATTGGACTGCTCACTTTCAAGGAAAGATCTTTGCTGTTTATCTTTGCTTCTCCACAGTACTACTGCTCAATAAATGTTGAATAAGAGAAGTGGAAAGGGTAGCCAGTATGATAGACTTAGCCAGTATAATAGACTGAGAATATGCGGTTGACTGTGTATGTATTCCACTAGAAAGAAAGGAACAGGGCTGAAGATGGAAATCTGAGGAACAGGTTATTGTAAAAATTTGGTAAGAGCTATTTTGTGGCTTGAACTAAGTTTGATCCCATTGTTATTAAAAGAGTAAAGATACTGTAAAGCAATGAATTGTTAGGCCTTAGCAGAGGGTTGAGTGAAAGATATATGTGCACCTATAATAAGACCTTTGTGTTACAGATGAAGTTGTATCATTTCTAATCTAAAAGATCAAGATAACTGACACATAAAGATGCATCTTTATATTGTTTGAATTGTAATATCTGTGGTAGGGGCGTTTTTAAGATACTTCTAAAAGCTAGAATGGGTGGTGCTATGCAAACATGTGTAATGCATACATATTTTATTTTATTTTTATCCTCTTTAGTTCAAGGAAGAAATCTCTAAACGTTTCAAATCACATACTGACCAACTTGTGTTGATATTTGCTGGGAAAATTTTAAAAGATCAAGATACTTTGAGTCAGCATGGAATTCATGATGGACTTACTGTTCACCTTGTCATCAAAACACAAAACAGGTATGGTTTTTGAAGACATAGTTTTAAACCAAGAGTAAGTGTTTATATTTCTCTTCAAAAATAACCAGTCTTGGCTTTAAATGGCTTTCCCTGTCATTAATATTTAAATGGATTAAAATTCCTTTCTTTTTTGTTGATAACAGTGTTTTTAAAAAACCAGTGGGATTTCGCATTAATACTTATTACACTATGTCAGGTAACCATTTAATATTTCAGAAGTTTCCAGTACTTAGTCATTATATCTAAATCATTTATTTGAATTATAGGACAAGCAAATTAATCTTTTTAGCTGTTCTTTTTATTTTAGGGAAATTCTTAGACAAAATCATTAGTAACATCTCAGCAAACCATGAATCAGTAACCATATTTCATGAAATCTAAGGCAACATCAATTTTTAAGAGAAATCTTTATTTTGTGTATCATTAAGAAAGATTACTGCCAACTGATGTTTTCTTGTCACTTAAAATTTTTATTTTATACTTAGTGAAAGAGCTCCTTTGAACTTATTTGGACATGGAATTTTCCTGTATCATTCTTTTGTATACATACAGAGAAAATATAAATGAAATAAATTGGTTAAAGCCTTCCTAAACACTGTGTCACCTTGAGTCTGATTCTTCTGAATCGCCTTTTGACTTAGTTGTCAGTGTCCATATTTTTCCATACACTCTGTTCTGTCTAGTGTGTTGGTGGTTGTAGCATTTTTTAAAACATCACTACAGGATTTTCTTCCAAGCCGTTGACACCCATTCTGCAGGTTTTTAGACTGTGCTCTTCTAATAACAAGTATTTGTTTTACCGATCTAAAATTATTCCTCCTGTTCTTGTTTCTGTGCTTTTCTGTTTACATAATAACTTCTTTCAGTGTTAATTAATGGGGTGATTTTGTAATTAAACTCAGCATGCATGGTACAACAATGTATTCAGTCACTTAGTTCAAGTCCTACGGAGAACATGTGTTCAGGCACTACAGTGGATGCCTGGTTGTCAGCAGTCATAAAACGGATCCTGATTTCAGAGATGTTAAAATGAAAAAATGTGGGCCTTAGAATCAGTAATAGTAGTAGTGTGTGAGATTCAGAGCTCTTAACTGGTATCAGATGGGAGGGTTCTCTAATAAAGTCTACTTTTTTACTTAAAGATAATGTTAAGTAATAATCACTTATTACTCATATTGATTTCTCAGCTTTTTGGGGGGTAAAGTGTCTTTATTTCTTTATTTTAACAGTTTCAAGGGTCTGAGTAAAACTGACCCCTAACCCTCACGAACTTAAGGGAGTAGATAAAATGTTGTTTATATGAAGGTGCTTCAAAAAGTTTGTGGAAAAATTGAATTACAAGATATGAATCCTTCATGAATTTTTTGAAGACCCTTCATATAGCCAAGCTTTGTGGGTGTGACCGGGCATTGATTGACTTTCTGACTAGATCAGGCGCGTTCAGGGTGGTATGGCCGTAGACTTGATTGACTTTCTGGGAGGTGACCTAACTCCCTGTCTTATGTAATCAATATGATTGAAAGTGATAAAATATTTATGTACATTATACTCAAAGAGGAGGGACAATTGTAGTATATTTTGGATGTTTTTAAGGTTTTACTATGTTTCTTTACGTTTTTTTGTTTCTACTTTATAAAAATTTGACTTGATCTGAGAGTGTACCTTTTATTTCTGGGTATCGGGATTTCAGAAGTTCTTTTAAAAATAATTAGCTCCACTGCTTACACTGTGATTTAATATTTTCCTTAGGCCTCAGGATCATTCAGCTCAGCAAACAAATACTACTGGAAGCAATGTTAACACATCATCAACTTCTAATAGTAACTCCACATCTGGCTCTGCTGTTAGCAATCCTTTCGGTTTAGGTAAGGATCTTTAGTTATTTTTGTAGGGATGAAAAAAATTCTTACTTCCAGTGTAGTTTTAGGGAAAATGACAGAGTAAAAAACATTGTCACTTTAACAACAGTTAAAATAAAACTTCCATAGTTTACTACTATAGTTGCAGTTATTAAGAAAGTAGCTGGATATACAGGAATGCTTGGTTGGCTTACATTTACATTTAATAAGGGGTCAATAATTGACACATTTCTTTCTAATAAAGAGATATAGTGTATATATGCCTGATCTGACCACTACATAATTGAATCTGAGGAAGATTAGTTAATTGTCGTTCATAAGCCAACCCCCTGAATAATTATTTCCTCATTTGTAAAATACAGGGATTGGATGCATTAGATATTTATTTATTTATTTTAACTCTCCTGAATACATATGATAGGGCTAGGGCCCAGGAGCAAGCCCAGTGGTTAAGGACTTTCTGCATCAGTTAAAACAGCTTTTCCTGTATCAGTTCTATATACTAAGGTTCTGTGGAAGGTTTGAAATAGATAGGTAATGCCTCTTTCAGTTCTTAAATTGCATTACTAGCATAGTACTTTGAAATGGCATTTTTCATATGCACACTTTTCACATATCAAGGACCGTACTTTTTTTCTCTTCCATAAAAGTTTTTTTTAGTAATTCACTTATACTACATGAAATACATGTTGGAAGCATTTAGGACTTGGTATAAGTTGGCAGAGGTTCACATTTGCTTTTTTTTTTTTTTGTCTTTTTTCCGTGTCCGGCTACGGATCGCAACCCTCAGTGTTGCCCCCGTA